GGGGCTTTCTCACCGACATGCTAAGACTCCTCTGTCATGTGTCCAGTCAACAGCAGCACACTTGACAGATTGTTTCGGGAGGACAGAAAGGTGAACGAGTTGGCCAAAAGTTTCCTGCTTAGAGTCTCCATGTCCGTGGGAATGCCCTTCAGCAAGTTAAATTGTTTCCAAATGCTCTGGAGTAAACAAAAGAGGATACGTTGGATTTGTCCTAGGTTTGTTTTACAAGGGCTTGACAAACTCTTGAGGATTAACGTTCATTTAATCACATTGTTTTGCAAAACCGAAATGAGACACACTTCTTCCGGCCTCCTATGTATGGGACTCTTAGGACTCTTAGGCTCAGCATTTTCCTCGTCATCACATCTTTTTTGTAGACTTAACTGTACATTTTGTGGTTGCATGAGTTCCCTTAAATGTTGTAAGATTGTCTACGGCTGAAATATCTATCGTTACATGAGCATGTATGACCTCAAATGTTATACATTTGTTTTGGTCATTAATTGAATGATCACATCTCTTTCAGAAAAAGAAAAGTTGTTCCTCTCTGTTTTGTTTCCATGACAACAAAGTCCAGATGTTTTCTATGGTACATTATGAGAACATATCCTGTCCAGCACAACATCTGATAAAAAAAAATGTGTTGATTGAGCATTTGCTTTGTTCATGGAGTCTGTGCTGCTCTCCATTTGTGCTTTATACAACATATTCATGTGGTTCACAAAGTGGTGCTCTCCGCTAGCTCCCAAAAACTTTGGAAAAACTGAAAGAAGAACAAAGGGCATTACATTTCTTTCCATCTTCAGTCATGTCATGCAGATGTGAATGATAATGCAGCCTTTCTGCACTTTCACTTCCTCTGGTTATGCTCACATGGCTTCTTAATCCAATTCAATTTCACATTAAAGGTCCTAAAATAATTTTTCTTAATTATCTTCTCATGACGGGATGCTTCACGCAGACAAGATCTCCTGCCAAAGTTGGTTATTTAGTTTCTCTGTTTTTGTATTTGATTGATACATTTGGCAGGGCTCTGTTTAAAAAGGGGATGCTGTGTACAGTATTTTTCACAGCTTCTTCTTGTTTGATTCAGTTGGTTAAATGTCTCTCCAAATGACTTCAACCACACCCACGCATGGTGTCATGGTGGATGAGATGAAACTGATTAAATGATTGAATGAAGGGATGTTAGTTATCTTGAAAGAGGGACAACACATTAATGTTGTTGTTTTGTTTTGACCTGCACACATCACTAATATGTGGAGTTAATGCAGAAGCACATGTTGGATAAAAAAAACATATATACGATAACAACGGCTTTTTAACTAAGAAAATAGACGTAAGCCTCACACACACTGTGAACAAGCCAGTAAGCATCCGTAGAAAAATAACATTGTTCATGAAGAGATTGTTTTCCTTTGAAAGGGATTGTTATATAATATTGCCATATTCAGCCATGAATATTAAATGGTACAGCTATATATTTAAGAAGTCAAACTAGTTTCCAGGTGCTTACAAAATGGGTGTCTTTGCGCAGCTATCGTTCAGTAGTTATTTATTCTTATTATTGGTGTCTGGTGATTATTGGAATAAGTGTTTTCTTTTACTGTGTGTAGGACATAATATACTGTATGCATTTTGAAACATGCTTTATTTTGCTGACAACATTCTTCTTTTCCAGTTGAAAATGAGCTCTGGCTGTCCACCCCCCTGGAACAAGACGTCCAGAAGCCAAAGTGTCCCCCTGGGTAACGATACACTCTTGTTCTGTTGCTGTAATGAGAGAACTGATGTGAATTCAATAGAGAACAAAACCTCAAAGCTCAGATGGCCTAGTTTGAGTAACAGTGGCTCCTCCTCTCCTCTCTACGATATCTTTCTGCATGTTTTGGTGCTGAGAATGAAGTTTCTCAGCTGTAACTCCTACAGTTTTCCTGAAGGGAGTTTATTGTTCCCAGTTGGCAGTTCTGTAGTGGAAAATGAACCGTGGCCACAGAAAGATAGAAAGGCTTTTCAGTCACTGTCAGTTACAGTTGTATGTGTTAATAACCCAAACACATCATTCTTGGTTTTTATGATTGTGTTGAATTTGCGGAAAAAAGTATCGGTCTCTATAGGAACTAAAGTCTTTGAGTAATCAGGCGTGTGTTGATGAGTGGTGTTAGTGTGCGTGCATGAGTGTGTGTGGTCACATGTGTGTGTGTGTTTCTGCTTTGGAAAGGGAGTAACCCCCAGACAGAGCATGGAAAATTAAAAACCTGTGTCTCCAAATGAAGCTATTTTCGCTTTGGAAATAACTTCAATTCAATAACAAATGAATGTTGTCTGTATTTTTAAAATGAAAGTCCATTATTGTCTTGGGTTTGTTTGTTTCTGTTGGCAAACCACACTTTCTTTTTAATGTGTGGTTTAGACTTTACACGAAAAGAGGAAGCGATTCTGGTAAGAGCTGATTGCATGGCAACGTTTTTAAGTGGTCATGGTAAATGTTAAAGAAATGGAATATAGTAAGGGCATAGCCAATTTCTGATTAAAACTTAAAACAATTAAATTATCATTTTATTACTTCATTTTCAATTTTCAATTTAAATTCAATTATTTAAGTGTTTAATAATCAATATCTTTAAATTACGTATTTTTTCCATGTCATTTTTTGTGTTTTTCTTTTCTTCAGTTTCTCCAATGTATTTGCTTTATTTTTATTACAACATTTATTCAGATATGCCATTAATCATTCCTTGTTTTTGAGAGAAACTCCCTCTGGAGGGATTATAGCCATTGCAGCCCATTTAGATGCACAAAAACCTGGAAAGGGAAAACCAAAACAGCGTAGTAAGGCCCCTTTAATATCTGTAAACTAAAGTAATAACGGAATAACCTGGAACTTATTACAATAATAAAATGAATGCTGTTAAGCTGTCTGTGGCTCTTTCCTGCTGTAACGATGCAAATTCCCCCTCTGTGGGACTAATAAAGGAATTCTGATTCTGACAAAGGAACAAAGGATACAGACCAAAAAAAGTCGTTTAGTCTTTGATTTCTCAACTCTTGAGTCACCTTTCTCTTCCTGTTCTGCTATTCGCTCTGTGATTTCTCTATTTTTTCTCCTCTTGCTCAGTCAAAGAGCTTCATTGTACTCCCTCCACACAGACCTACTGTACAGCATTACTGTTGCCAAAAGATAAACTTGTCTCCTGCTGAGTAATTATTCCATTTCCCCTTCACAAACCCATTTAGCATCTTACTTCCTCTCTGCCTTCCCACGCAGTTTCTCCAAGCCTCCTCTCATCCTGGTGTCCTTGGACGGGTTCAGGGCAGAGTACCTGAAAGATCACGGCAGCCACCTTCCTGTCATCAACAAGTTACGTAAGTCACCATCATGTTGACTGCACAGCGCTTCATGGTTCACTCTGCATTGTGTGACTGAATCCTTCTGTTGCAGGAAACAGCGGGACAACACCTCCCTACATGAGGCCTGTTTATCCCACAAAGACCTTCCCCAACCACTACAGCATTGTGACTGTGAGTCCCTCCTGGTCCACAGGCTGATGGATTGGATAGATTGTTTTTTCAGTGGTAGTAGAAGAATTCATAAAAGTAATGCATTCAAACAAGTGGTGAAAGAAGTAAAAACAAAGCAACAATACTACAGTGAGGAAATACTCTGATACAAGTCCGAGTCCTACATGTCCTACTCGGGTAAAAGCACAAATATATAAGAGTCAAGATCAAAGTACTCAAGTTTATTACAAGTGCCCTAAAATTATACTTAAATAGGATACCAAAGTACATTTATGTAGATTTATCCCATCTCCAAAACGGAAGCATGTTTAATTGTACTCAAAGCTAAGTATCAGAGATATCCTTTTTTACTTTATATGATTATATATTACATTATTAGATTGATATTTTGTATTTCTAATATCCAAAAGTCTTTGTACGGTGCAGCTCATTCAAAAACATTATGAGTTTTATATTCTTGAACAAGTTTGGTAGATAAACTAACAACTCATAGATAAGAGATCCAGAGTGAGCACTGTTTATTTGTAAAGGGTCAAACTGTTTGGAAACCAATAGTAAAGAAAATATGAACCAAAGAAATTCGTAGTAACAAGTTTCCCTTTGAGAAATGCATCAAAGCAAATCTCCTAACTTACTTTCTATCACTGCTGTTGGTGTTCCAAAGTTTAACAAAAATGTGGGTTTTTTCCTGCAATTTGAGAGCCAGTGTCTCTTCACAGACGTATAGAGTTACCATGGAGGCTTAATGCCTTACATGTGCTTGTTGAGAGGAGCAGCAGCAGGAGAGCGGCTTACAGAGTGGCCTTCACCTCTTTTATTTACAGACCCTGTAATTAAAATAAACTGCTTTGGTGACTGGTAATATCTAAGTTAGAAAGAAAAACCATAAAAGGTAATGAAAACCCCTTCAGCCACATCATCCAAACAGCTCACCCTGACTGTATGTTTTACCTGCAGGGTCTTTATCCCGAGTCCCATGGGATAGTGGACAACAAGATGTACGATGTGAATCTAGACGCTTTCTTCAGCTTGAAAACTGACGAGAAACTCAACCCAAAATGGTACCAAGGAGAGCCAGTAAGTGAATCTCAGCAACCATGATATTTTGTACAAAGGTGTAAATTCATTTTTCAGTAAAGACTAGTTTGGAAAAGACAAAAACTGGGATCTAAAAACAACCATGTGAGGAGATTTCGTTTTCCTTAAGTGCAGGACAGCTCTGAGCTTTTGTAATTTCCTTCCCACATTGTCTGAGTCCGACACTACTGTTCTGTAACATGTGAAAGTGAACACACCCTGACTTTTGGGAAAACCAGAAACAGATAGCATCAGCACATGTCTTTGTGAAGTAGGAATCATTGTGTTCCGAACAGCCTTTCATTTGCTCAGAATCAGCGTCCCCTGTAATGAGCTCCTTGATATAATCTCCTCGTACGAGATGACATCTCATTTAAGGATGTGAGTTGAGCTTGTTTGTGGTTCCTGTTGAAAACGCAGGTCTCTTAAATCTCATTTCTTAACAGTGTGACACGCTGCTCCACGTGAAAATGCACAATGCAGCAGCCGGATCACTTTCCACGAGCGAGGGGGGAAATACATTAACGATGACTCCTGGAATAAATCATATTGTAATGACCCAATCTCATTTTAGAGCATCGGCCAAAACATGCTTACAAGCCTGCTGCACAACTATAACAGCATTTCTAATTGCACATCAGTGTAACAGGTATTGATTTAACATGAAGAACATGCAGTTAGATGTCCACCAGTCGTCTGGGCTGTGAGGGATTACACTTTCACCCTAATGGACCAAACCCTGCTGCTGTGATATACTGATATTAATGAATGAGTCTAATACAGCTTAGTGTGTCAACATGAATCTAGATGACACTCCCATTGTGTCTCCTTCTCTCACCTTTCACCTCCTTTCCTCTCCTTCTGTTTCCTCTTCTCCCCCCTTCTCCTTTTCTCTCTCTCTCACGTCTCCTCTCCCCTAATTTCATTATTGTCTTTCCTTTCATCCTCTCTCCTCTACTTACTTCTCTTAATTTCCTCTCATCTTTTTCCATGCCCTGATCTCTTCTTTAAACTCCTCCACCTTTTATCTTTTCCTTATGTGTTTTTGTATCTACTTTCTTCTCATCTACTCCCCTTTTTTCATTCTTCTTTTTATCTACTTTTTTTCCTTTGTTCTTGTGTCTCCATTCCATTCCTTACCTCTTCTCACCTTTCCTATCTCCTCTCCTCACCTCCCAAAAACTCTCCTTGCCTCCCTTCTCCTCCTCTCCTTGCCTCCCCTCTCCTCCTCTCCTTTCCTCCCTTCTCCTCCTCTCCTCGCCTCCCAAAAACTCTCCTTGCCTCCCCTCTCCTCCTCTCCTTGCCTCCCCTCTCCTCCTCTCCTTGCCTCCCTTCTCCTCCTCTCCTTGCCTCCCTTCTCCTCCTCTCAGATCTGGATCACTGCCATGCGTCAGAAGTTAAAAGCAGGAACCTTCTTCTGGCCTGGCTCAGATGTAAAAATAAATGGCACCTACCCAAGCTTGTACAAGTCCTATGATAAGTAAGAGATACATTATATTCTTTTGAATTAATGACAAGAACATTAATGCTATATTATGGGGCTGAATTCATGAATTTTCTTCACAGGACAATTACATTCGAGCAGAGAGTGTCAACACTGTTTGAATGGCTCAGTTTACCTGAAGGGGACAGGTATTACTTTCTCTTTTATATCATTCAAAATATGTTGTGAGGGAACACAGAACATCACACTGACCTGTTGGCTTACTGATTTCAGACCTGACTTCTACACTTTGTATCTGGAGGAGCCTGACGCGGCTGGACATCGATACGGACCAGGGAGCAGCGAGGTTAGTCTGTCACTAAAAATAAACCTTAAAATATAAGCTGGTTGCTGATTACCTAAAAAAAGAACAGACCAGTGCAAATAATGAGGAACTTTGTTCTCGGTCCTTGGGGGATCCTGGGTCATGTGATGGTCTTGTTGTACATGTGAGGGAAGGGTGGTGGAAAGACCCACTGAAGAATACCATGAGATTGGTTGAAAGCTCTGAAACAAAATGCTTGTTAATATACATTTTCCAAAGGGTTTTGGAGCTGTTTGACTAGGGGTGCAATACATTATAGATTAGTCTAAAAAGAGTCAGAAAAATGTTAAAATGGCTTGTTATATAATTTCTTCAGAAAAGCAAAAGTATTTTAGAGGTTGCAATTTACAGTAGACAATTTGCTGGCATTTCTGCTTGAAACATTTGTTACATTTATTATCAGAATGATTGCTAATTAATGTTCTTCTTTTGAAATTAATAGATTAAGCTATTAAATAGTTCCACGTGCATATAACGTATAGTATCTAACAATTAAAACAAGAACTAAGTGTAACCTATTGTGTAATCTGTAAAAAATCATATGAATAATATGTAAAATATTGGGTTAAAAATTATAATTATAATTTAAAATGTAACCTTGTCAGTAAAAATAATTGAACACATTTACCATTACAGATTGTCGTGGCTTCCTTCCTTGTGTTTCCATCAAGCCACTTGACGCCTTAAACAGACAGTTCTAACTCGTTTCTTTCCTTTAAATTACTGACAGTTTGAAGTGTTGCTTGGCCTCCGATGGTTTAGATGATGTTGCGATGTGTTTGCTCAAAATAAAATAACAAACTTTTGCACATGCAACAAATAAAATAGGCCTTTACAATATTCAAAAGAAATAGGCAAAACTCAAATAAAATAACAAACAATTCTTGATAATGCTTATATAACTTCATAACTTAAAGGATACTTGTACGATTTGTATGTACGTGTACGGTTAAAAACTGTTCCTCGACGGAGTCTCTCAACAGGTTGCCCCTCACTGTGGCTTTAGCACAGGCGCCGTGGGAATTGTAGTCCTTTATAGTGCGCTGACTACAGACGTCACAATTAGGTGGCCTTTCTTATAAAATCAAAATACTGACTCTAACACAGATGTTTAACTAAACTCCATTTAATAAAGCCTATGCTATGACCCTTGCTGACAGCTTCATTTTATCCATTATATTTGTTAATCATTTATTTGCTGAATCAAGTTGTCCTTGAAGTGTTCACACTCACAGTTTTCCTGAACGTTGTTTTGTGTTACGGTGACACGTTAACTAAAGCTTTTTGTTTTGTTTCCCTTCAGGTTGTTGAGGCCTTGAAAAATGTGGACAGGATTGTGGGGCTGATGATGGACGGCCTGTTAAAGAAAAACCTGCACCACTGTGCCAACATTATAATCGTATCAGACCACGGTGAGATAACTACACAGCCTGCGGTACAGCGCTGTGCCATTTACACCAGGGGTTCCCAAACTTTATTGTGCCAAGGACCGGCAGATACATTAAAAAATATTCGCGGACCGGTTGTCAATTTTAACTGATTTGAATATTTACTCACCAGCAGGTGACAACAGAGGCTAATTGTATTTAACAGCCTGAAGAAATACCAATCTGCATCCAAAACATATTAACAACGTTTAAAACCAGGATACAATTAAAACAAAAAATTAGGACCGCTTTACAAATATTAATATAATATATAATATAGCCTAATATAGGTGGCAACAGTGGCTAATTGTATGTAACAGCCTGAACAAATAATAGAACAATATGCATCCAAAACATATTAACAAGTTTAAAACCAGGATACAATTAAAACAAATTAGGACCACTGTACACATATTGATATAACTGAAATGTCAGTGAGACCCCTGGGCTTGTTTGCCAGCAATAATAACATCATACCGGGGCGTTCGTTCCGGTGCACTCCGACAGCATTTAGCACTACATCGAGATTAAGATTAAACTAACTTCTTTTGGGAACACCCACATACCTATGGAGTTGGCCAGATGTGTGTAAATTACTGTTCATGGTAATTTGAAAACAAATGCCGTTGTTGGACACACACAAACACACCGAACATACACACACACAGCAAACGTTGCTACGTTTCAACCACACACACCTCTACACACGCCAACACACGCCTCTACACACACGCATGCAGTGGGGAACACAGTGAAGGCGGTGTGTATGCGCTGGTGCTGCACTTCTCAGAGGCTGCCTCCTGATGCTGCAGCCATTTTATGAAGTGAAGGAGGCTTTACAAATTTAAAAAATAGCTCTACACCCCTGGCCGCAATGTCCTTAAAATGAAGTGCGAGTTCGAAATATATCTCAAATAATGTATGCACTGCCATTCCCCCACAAACATAACAGTCTGCGATTAAACGGTTGTGTCCTGTGTGCTCCACTTCCTATTGGCGCACCACCTGTAGCTTTATCTGCACACGAGAGGCTGAGACCTTATGCTAACCAATTTTGATTTATTTTTTATGTTTTGGATTAAATAATATGACTGGTATAAAATAAAATAAAAATAAAAAAATTAATTGAATTCTTTTTGATAAAATATTTATAATTCTGCAAATATTACGATAAACTCACGGTACCGGTCCGCGGACCGGGGGTTGGGGACCCCTGATTTACACGACAGTTAAACTGTACAGTGTGATTGTGAATTTAACGCAATTCAGAGGAAGTCAAGTTTTTAGTCCTTTTTTTTAATCTTTTATTTAAAGCTGTGCATATGCTTACAGATAAGCTTGGCCCATCCCTCCTTAATCTGCGCCGTTTAACTGTCCCATTGTTTTAGAGCCTGTGTGCCACTGAGCTGGGCTTTAGAGGCTTAATGACATCTGCTAATGTTTGAGTTGATCGAGTCCCTATATTTGTTAAAGGAGAAAATCCAGCTCCATTTTTGGAAGAAATCTAAAGAAAAATGAGTCTGTAATCTGAGAGAAAACTGTCAAAAACTCTCAGCAGTTAATGTTAGCGAGATGAGCTAGTGATTCTTCTTTTTTCTAACAGTGCACAAACCTGGCAACTTCCATGCAATCATAGCTACATTTGTCAATAATTCAAACACCCATCTTTACATTTTATAAACAAAAACTGAAGACAGATTGATATTTCCCTTTGTTTCAGGAATGGAGGAGGCTTCGTGTGAAAAGGCATTCTATGTGTCAAACTACCTGAACAATACAGAGAACTTTTCTGTCATCCAAGGCCCTGCTGCTCGCATCAGACCCACCCGCCTGCCAGAGGATTTCTTTGACTGTGAGTTCCTGCTGAAAACACCCAAACCTCCCCTTGTTCCCAGCCTTGCCGTATCACTCAGTGTCCATTTGTTCGTGCGTAATGTCGCTGACCTTGTCCTCTGTTTCTCTCCTCAGTCGACTATGAGGGCGTGATGACGAATCTGTCGGTATGCCAAGTATTCCAAATGTGACTTTTGTGTTGATATGAAGAATGAAAGATTATCTGCTTGCTTGGTTTCACGTCAAACAAAGCCATTCTCCCAGCACTGCGTGTTGATTCTCCTCTGCTGCGTCTGCTCTGAAGTGCAGGACCGATGACCAGCCAATGAAGCCCTTCCTCAAAGAAAACCTCCCCAAGAGGATGCACTTTGCCAAAAACGAACGCATCGAGAGAGGACACCTCTACATGAAGCAGGGGTGGCAGGCTGCGCTGTAAGTCTCCGATCAGGCCACTGTCTATATGTTCTCACTGATTGAGGTCATTAAACTGTGCTGAGAATCAGCTGCTTGATAAAGGACCACTTATTGAGAGCAGCTGTGTTGGGGAGAAAACTTAAAAAAGGCATTGATAAACCCAACTTTACATTTGAATTAAACACCCTGGCAATCAAACTCCAATGGTTTTTTTAAACCACTAAACACTTAGTTTGAGATTCAAACTGTTACCTTGACCTTTTATGAGCTTTTTGATATGTAAAACCTGTTTGACCCAAAGTTACACGCTTAGCACGTCAAAGTCTCTTCAAACCTAGAATTAGGAAAGAACATTTAGTCAGATTTTAGCTCCAAAATCTCAACAATGCTTCATGCAGCCCTACTTCATGTAAGCTGAGCGGGTGATCTAACGCCTGGCAGCAGGTCAGTTAGATAAGGGAGAGGGGGAAAAAACATTAATGTTGCACAAGTTGTATCAACAAGTTTTAAATGAAACAGCCACACCAATCTCTACAAACAACAATTGTGTATTTCCACCTACTCACAGCCTGGAAAAGCATGTTTTAGCCACGAGCAATCTCTATAGAGAGGAAGAAGGTTAGTGGTGGTTAACATTCTTTCTATAAATTATCCATTTAGTCTTAGATTGTTTTGTACAGTAGATGCAGACTGTTTGCCTTCTTTCACTTTTAAACGATCGATAAAAGACAAACTTCAAACTGCTAACTTTGACATAAAATAGCTGATCCAGCTTATTAAAAACTATTACTTTACTACTTTCTAAAAACAAATTACTGCATGGGAAAAAAAACGTAATTAGCCACTTTTGGGATTTTTCGCTGATCAAACTGTGGCAAAAGGCAATTATTTGAATTAAAGTGAAGTAAATTATTTGAAATAAGAGTTTATTTTGTGTTCCATGATTTGAATTGATTGGAGAATTGGAAGTGCAGGAGCATTATAAACCCATCTGCATTGCACATTTAATCTCGAAATGTAAGGACAAAGTTAGAAAACAAATTATAACCTGAAAATGTTTGATTAAAAGGATCTCAAATGTAGACCTTATACTGTATAGTGTAAACTGTGTTCGTTATTCTCCCGTCCAGGAGAGAAGCTTTAAAAGGAGACTAAATGGAGTCTCTGTGAAAGTTCAATTGGGTACTTTAATTTAAAAAAGCGCGGGTTGGTCACAAGCATGATATTGTTCAGTCAGACAAACAGCTGTGATCCGCTCCTCGTTAGAGAAGACAGGAGGAGGATCTCTCCTCCGGTGCTGTTATATATCCTCTGCTGGCTCCTCCCCGCCAGCCGGCTCGCCTCGTCTCCAATGTCCGTTGTTGCATTTAAACAGAGGATTGGTTCTTTTCACATTCAATATATGCTTAACACGCCTTTTCTCCTCATATTCTCTTTCATCACTTTTCATGTAACACATTCTAAACGCTGTAATCAATACTCTAAAAAATACTTCTCGGCTCGTTTGGTTTCCGGATGTTGTCACATGCTAAATGCTAACCGTAGATGAAGGATTTTCAGAATAAAAGCTTAACTGCTTGTGCACAAGAATTTCTGGTTTTTCAGTATAAAAGAGCATTAAAACTGACGGCATGTTTAAACTACATTTCCCCATTAAAACATTGATTTTAATTTCTAACAATAGCCAGAGTACGAAATGTTTTCCGGTGATGACAGTCACAATAGCAATTCCACGGATAGAGAATAATTAAGATGTAGCGGAATATACTACAGATCTTACAGTGATTGGTGTTGGCCAGTCTTACTGTGTGTAAATTATAGTTCAGCCAAACCAAAGTGAATGTCTGGTGATAAATGCAAATGTTTATTTTGGCCACACAGAAGTTAAAGCACTTAAAGTAATTTGTGTTAGCAGCCATTTAATGAATAAGGCTTGGTATGCTGGAGAGAAGCTGTACAACTTCTTTGAAGGAAAGCAACCATGTAATCACAGAAAATTGTTTCAGGCTGAAGAATGTAAGCTTTAATGTAGTTGCAGTGTGCAGTAAATCGCTCTTAAGGGAATAAAGACTTACTGTAAACTTGCCTGACCCTGGATTTGAGATTGAAAGTCAGATGAAAACAGTTTTTTTTGCATGACTTCCATCCTTAATTCCCCTCATTGTGGTTATTTGTACTCTGTCTTGACAGTAATCAGAAGGAGCTGAAGTACTGCACCGGTGGATTCCACGGCTCAGACAACATCTTCACCAGCATGCAGGTCAGAGGAAAGAAAGATGTGTGATAGTCCACGAGTTAAATGTTTAACACGGTATCCTGTTTAGGTTTCTTTTAAACAGGAAGTGTGATAACACATTGACACATTGAGAGAGAAAAGTCGGGGGCCTGATAACTACTGAAGGTTTACGGGAAAAACATAATTACTGGCCTCCCGAAAACAGATACATTAAAGAGTGTTAATATAATTTTCTCAGCAATTACTGTCTGCTTACTTTCGAGTTAGATTAGAGGAAGAAGTAGCAGTTACGTCCCCAAACACATCTGTGATTGGACAAAATCTGTCTTCATATAAATCAATCAAAATCAAAACTTTCCTATTCAGATCTGCTTTTAATTTTTAATTCATTTTATGCATTTGGTTGTGTTATTTTTATAATTTATTTAAGATTGTTAATATCTATCTGTAAAGTGACTTTGAGTCCCTTTTCAAAGCACACTATAAATCAAATGTAATATTATTAAGTACTTGACAGACAGCTTTCAAAACGATATGTATTTCTCCAAAAATACCATATTCAAAAGGATTGAGCTCTAACATTTTCAGGATGTTGTAAAAGTCAGTAGTTCATAAATTGGCCGCTTTTGTAAGCAGTTCATGTTTGGGTCTGAATGCAAGTTACAGCTCTGTATGTGATGTTTTATTTCTGTGAATCAAACTCAAGGAAAATGGCTAAGATACAAACGCAATAGTACTTTGGAAACTTGAGCACAGTGATGACACCATGTTGTCAAAAGTTGCTCCCCACCTACACATTCTGTGCCTCGTGTTGAATTAATTTAATTATGGAATGTTTTTGTATCTGTCCGTCTCCCTTTTAGTCATCACATCACATCTGTGTGTGTTTCCGAACGTGGTTTCAGGTTGACTTGACTAGTTGTAAAATTAGCTTACAAAGTTGATGACTTGTCCAATAGACCGCTGTGAGTTGTGAAAAGTCACATATTCCACAAATAGAGTTTACTTTCAAATATCCACAAAACCCACACAAACGATGTCTTTCCTAGAATTTAAATATCTAGCATTCATTTTTAAGGTTATGTAAGGTCAATTCAAAGCATCAGTCCATTTCAAATATTAACATAACATTTGACTTATTTAAGCCTGCGTCACACTGTCCCGAAATTGACGCCAGATGGACACACGATAACGGAAATGTTCAAATTCGGTTCTGATCGTAACAACATCGGGCCATTCGTGAGGGCATCTTAAGCCATCGTATGACCGCCGGTGGAGTTTCTCAGGCACCGGCAGCAACTTCGCGAGCGGTGGCAAAATCTTGCAGAAAGACCTTGCGAAAGTTCATTTTCGTGTTGAATTCGTGTGTCCATTTTGCCCTTCGTAAGGCACTCGTGAGGGCATTTTGTCAAATCGTGTCCTCTTCGTCTGATCATCGGTGGCATTGGGCATTGTTCGCCTCACGAAGACAATACGAAGGAAACAAGAAGCTGCCCGATTGTCTAAAAAAGGCAACACGACTACGTGAAGCCCTCGCAATGCCGTCGTGTAGCCATCGTATTATAGTACGATGACATCGAGATGGGACCACGGTGTGCAATGTTTCCTTGCAGATCGCTTCTCTGGTTGTTTTATTGCACAACAAAATCACGCAAACATATTATGTAAATAACCCAATTTGTGTTCTGTGGAACTGAAAAGGATATTACATTGTTTTTGTTACTTTCGTTGCAGTTGTATGTCTTAAATGTAATTTAGGTTAACGTCTCTTCTTCAATATTTAAGTCCTATAGTTAAAACATGCATTATTTTTTTATTAAACGGCTTCAACGGACCACAACAAAGTTAATTGATGTTGGGGCAGAATCTCTGCTACGCGCCGTTCCTATATGAGCGGGTTCTCAAAAGAAGGAAAAATTCAAAGCAGCCAGGATAAGGGTTAAACAATAATCTGCTTTAATGGCAAAATCATACAAATACTTCACCTAATCACGAAGCACTCTGCAGAGTACTCCGGGCTCAGGTTCTACCACCGTGTGAGACACGTCTCAGGAACGGCAAGTCAAAAACAAGAGCGCCGATCTTCAAAATGATCACAACATTTATACACAGAGTTCACTTCTGAGCGAGCTAGCCAGTGAGTTGGCAGTGTTCCATTGGTCGGTTTCCCTTCTGGGCGGGATCCCAGGTAGTAAGTCAGTTTGTTGATTCCATCGTTTGCTTCACAGTGTATGTGTGTGTGTGTGTGTTTCTGTCCCTCTGCCCTCAGGCAGATCCCCCAATCAATGATTTGGAGTCATGACAGAGGACTCTTTGACAGGACACATACTCATTCCCCCTAAACATCTTCAACACACACAAACATCGTATCATGTATCTTTAACAGAAGTTAATTGTTCTTATCGCTTAATGGCTTCCCTGAACTTCCCTTCACCCCAAAGTCAGCTTACTAGGAATTAATACATTTTATTGATAAGCTCAAAAGGACCTTTATCTCATTTACTGCTGTGTGACCCAAGTCTCAAGGCCTCTTTTGGGGTCTGTAGGAGATAAATCATTAATTCTACAAGGCTTCAACTGTCTTGTATCTGAGGCACATCTCCCTTTGGGCTAATCAATACGGGTTTTAGCAATTAGCAGAGGAAGCGAGAGACTCAGGGCCCCTTCCTTGCTGGGAACTGCAAAGCAGATGTCAAAGGTCATAAAACCACCCTTTTGACTACACATGAAAAGTGGAAGAAAAGACTATTGCTTTCATTTATTATTACTAAGTAGTGGGACATTGTTTCAGGAATATATGAAAAGCCTCTCAATTATTTAAACAGTAAAAATGTACTTTCAAATTTAACACCCACGAATATATAAGGTGACATTAAAATGAATATACCAGATTGAACTTTCCTGCCATAACACGTTACTTTAATACTTCAAATAATTCAAATAATCCTTCAAGGTGGAGACATTTTAGGTGCTGTAGTTGTAGGGGCATCAGTTGTGGGGGCAGCAGTCGTAGGAGATACAGTTGTAGGCGCACCAGTTGTAGGTGCTGCTGTTGTAGGGTCAGCAGCTTTAGGTGAAGCAGTCGNTGGCTTGACCACAGTCTGTTAACCCAGTGTTTTCTGACATGAAACGTTTTATTTCACCTTGCTATGTGTTTTTAACGTATATTAAAAAACGGGGACATTTCCGGGGACAGTTTCAACCCGGGACAGGCCAATACAAACGGGGACTGTCCCCGGAAAACGGGGACGTCTGGTCACCCTACGAGAGAGGGAAGTGTGTGATGATGTTCTTGACTGTTGGTAAAGGAAATGTCCTTCCTATATATTGTCCTTCACCAAATCATCAGGCAGATAAAGAAACATTTAAAATCAATGCCAATGTTCTGTGCTGTTTGTGCTGGATGTTTGAATAGGCAATGGTTTCCAAAACAACCAGAGGTGTTTACTACGATGCCAGATTAACGGGTTAGCAAGGTATGCTAACAGCCAGAGCTGTAATACCATGGTGGCTCGATTTAGCTTATGCTACAGCCAGGTTACATTCAGAGTTTTGGATTCAATCATCTGAAGAGCACTGTTTACGAACTAGTTCCTTTGAAAATTGTGTCACATGTTCATAATCGATAGTGCTGTACATCTCTGAGCAGTACAGATTCAAATACATTTAAAATAGCAACATAAATAAATAAGGGATTTCTGGGAAGGTCATTCTGTAGAATAGAAGAATTGGGAGGGATGAAACCCTATTTGATGGTCACACATGCAGAGCGCACACACAGTGACATTTGTTCTCGGCATTTAACCCATCCTAGTACCAGGAGTCTAGTACTAGGAAAGCAAGGCCCCCAAGTATTTTTAAACTTCCTTGAAGAGCTTTTCAATGTACGTATAATTCATTTTTCGAGGTGTAAATGATGGAGGATTTCTCTCATTCACACAGTGATGAAAAACATTTGCGCATGGTTTGCAGGTATTTGATGACATATTTCTCGATGCAGTCCTTAAGCATAACGTTTAAATCTGCCCCATCAGGTTTGTAATTAAAGAGCTGCAGAAGGCACCGTTTTTTAATTAGAAATAAACAGGAAGCACAGATTGCATGAGATCAATTACATTTACCTAATTAAATAACTTGTGAATTTACATGAGATGTATTTCAGAGGTTGTGTTCACAGCTAGGAAGAGAGTGGAACTGCCTGATCAACAACTATGAACTCTACTGTTCTGAAATGGTTTGCATATTTTTGATAGAGGAACAGTCAATATCAGCTTAGCATCCTCTTGAATCTGTATTGAGCTGCACTTCAGTACATTCATCCTCCACACTTCATATTGCTGTGCCTTTGAAGAATAAAACCCAGTGAAGTCATCTGAGAATGACTCAGCTAAAGTGCTCTGTAGTTATTAGAAAGATTCACAGTGAGCAGTAATTGTTGTTTTTCTTCAGTTTCAGAGCTGTAATAACTTTAACATTTATCAAAGGGAGCTACACACCAAATAATTATCAACCAAATGCTTAAAGTGTCTTATGAAACACACAACTTCATGTTGTTGTAGCTTTATGACTGATCTGCCTTCTTTACAGCAAAATCTGAGTATTTGAATACCCAGCCTTTTCAATAAAACATGAATCATGACAAGCATACACCGACCACGCAACGCTGAAAGCATTTAGCTGGAGGGGTTCTGTGTAACCCTTATTAAAAGCTGCAGTTTTCAAAGTGTTCCACAGATTGCATTTTCCTTCATCTGGATTTTTGTCAGATTTTGCGATTAAGTATTTATTCCGCCCAGCCGCTGCTGTCCGAGTTTGTCTCCGTCAGAGCGGAGCAGGATCCACTCGACAGGAGTTGTCTTCACCTCGATGAACCTCATGTTATGTTCCGGTTTGGTCTCTTTGAACCGTGAGAGCAGTTCACTTCTTGTCCTCCAGCTGGAGTGATGGATCATGATTCAGCCGCTCACACGCTCACCGTCCTACTCACTGCTATCTGCTCTATCTGAACACTCTGTTAATGTATC